AGGCCATTTTGATAAGTAGCTAGGTTTTGCGGAAAAAATGTATTTTTCCTACTCAGTCTTATATGTAGAAACGATAAGTTCTCTGATAAACAGCATTGAACACCCCATCTCCTTTCGTTAGCCTCAAATGGTTTTACTTGAAAATTATTATAAGCTTCTGCGACAAATTAACGATTAACCCCGGGGAAGCATCATGTCGCATGTGGTGTGAGAACGATTACTTTCGACAACAGACAATAAATTTTATTTTCAAAAGCACATACATGTCCTTTAGAGCAAAAGACCAAAGATTGATGAAGGTGCGATTAATTTCTCGCATTCTATCGAAGCTTATGTCACATTCGGAACGATAAACCTAACATAACCTTTATTGAATGATGTAAAAAAAAAAAAAAAATGGGCATTTTACTTCTGTTTATTATTTGTGCATATAAATATGGGTGACATAAAAAAGCAAACTTATAGACGAGCTCGCAATACAAAACAGAATCACTTGACCAAATACCCACACACACTGCATATACAAAGTGCAACAAAAATCCTCGTCTCTTTCCGTGTTGTGCGAGTTTCGTGCTCTTTTTACAAATTTTTTTTTTTTAAATTGGATTTTATAAATGAATACTTTTTCAAGAGATCTGTGTAAAGTATCAGAAATTTTATACCAAAATTGGAGCAATTTCTAAATTTTTTCGCAATCGTGTTCATCTAATTTGTATCCGTTTCCATAGACGAAATTTATTAAAAGTTTTATTGAATCACACGAGCTTTCTTTTCCTTCTTTGTTTTTAATAAACTCGGATTTTAATGAAAGGAAGGGTGATTTTTTCGCTACACCATACATTTTTTTATCCGTCTTCTGCATGATACTTTGTACCCATCACCGAAATATTCATTATGTCAAAACATTTGGAAGGTCCATCAAGAAGCTTAGGAGCCTCTCAAAAAGTATGTATTCTTGATCAACATCAAAATTCTCAATTTATTTAAGCATGTCTGTCTGTCCGTCCGTTCTAGACATTCTGCTGGCAATAACAATGAAAATATCTATTCAAAATTTGGCAGAAACATTGGAGGTTGTTGCACTCAGATTGCGGTTGAAAATGGTTCCAATCGGTCAAGGGACAAGCCTACAATACCACATAAACTGAGAACACTTGTGTTTTCCAAAAGATATAAAAGAATTTGTTGTTTGTTCATTACTTATAAACTATGGCAAATAAATATACAAAGTTTTGAGCCTATATTCTATGGGCAATGGAAAATGTAGTTCCTTTAGGTTTTGTTGAATAACGATGATCGGTAAAAAAGATTCGGTTACGACCAAATATAATTTTCTTCCTTCTTCTTTTCGATTACTTGTAAATTTTTTTCCCTCATTTTCTTATAAACTATTTCTTTATTTTAGTAGGCGTCCCAGGAAAAGATTTCATATAACAGAATATTCTTTTTTCTTTATGTCAGTTACTCTCGTAATCATCCACAGATAAAAATCTTTCCTCTTCGTTTCCAGGGAAGGGAAAAAAAAAACACATACAGAAGAAGAGAAAACTTTAACAATAATTTACAAACCAGTTTTGAACAAAATGTATATATCTTCACTTTGTTTGCCTTATATCAGATGACATATAAGAAAGAAGAAGGAAACTTTTGAAAGAGGAAAAAGCTCTAGAAAAAAATTAGTCGCCAATTTATAATAGAATTTGTAAAAGTTCTTAAGCTTAAGTAGCTTTTGAGGTTTCCAGAAAACTGTCACATTTACGAATGTTAAATTAGCAAGAAGTCATAAAATCTGAAAAAAAATTGCCAGTCAATTTTCATTCCATTTCTTAAGTCCTTTCTTTCATTTTCATTCATTCATTTATTTCAATTTTCTTTGGAATATTCATCGATTGCCAAATAAATAGTCAACTTGAATAGTGGAAACGATTTAGCCTTACTGATATGTCTATTTGTCTATTGATCATCTTTCGAAATCATAAATCGGGGCTAAATTTAAAAATCACCCAAATCAATTCAAGAACAATATATACCCATCGCTATTAAAGATCCATGCACAGGGTGCAAAACTTAAAAATTTTCGGTTTTTACCTAAAAAACCTAGAAGCAAAACAATACGAACTCAATTATATATGATATGTAGGCTGCAATATCTCTTTTACCTAGATAACCTAGAAGCAAAACAATACGAACTCAATTATATATGATATGTAGGCTGCAATATCTCTTTTACCTAGATAACCTAGAAGCAAACCCATATGATCTCATTTATATATGATATGAAGCCAGCAATATCTCTTTTACCTAGCTAACCTAGAAGCAAAACAATATGATCTCAATTATAAATGACATGTAGGCTGCAAGATTTCTTTTACCTAGATAACCTAGAAGCAAAACAATATGATCTCAATTAT